GGGGTGGAGGGGGCTGGGACACCAAGGGCCCATCGGGTGTTCTACTGTGAGGAGGTGGGGGCTGGGGACTGGGGTCTGCGAGGTGCTCCGTGTCCGTGACCCAGGCATCGGTCTCACAGAGGACACTCAGCGTCTGAGCGGGTCGAGGGTCGAGGAGGGTTGGGGAAGGTCGGGTGGGTTGGGGTTCCGCCGGGCGGAGCCGTTTCTAACCAGGTCAGTCAGCCAGCGCGGGTGACATCACCGACCCCCTCCCTCGCCCAAACCCCCTCCCGTGCTCTCCCCGCCGCGCCTTTTGTCCCGGCCAGGCTCGGCTCTGCCCCGCCCCTCCTCGCCCATCTGCCGGGGAGGAGACTCCCCGTCAGTGACTTCATTGAGTGGGTTCTTGGGGATTGGGCTTGGGTCCTCCCCAGACAGAGGCAAGAGGAGCTAGCTCATTGCCTCGCATCTCTCACAGTGACACCTGTCACAGGTACACACGCTGCCACTCACAAGCACACTGTCACTGCCAGCCTCACTGTCACGCTGTCACACCGACACTCACAATCCTCCAGACACTCCTGCACCTGCGAGCAGGTGGCCACTGGACCCTCTTCCTTCACTCTTGGCACCTGGGGATCAGGTCCAGCTCCTGCGGCACCAGACAGGCCTTGCTGGACAAGGGCCTCTGAGAATCTGAGGAGGTGGCTTCCAGAGCTGCAGCTTTCCAAGCGGGCTCCGGTGGAGCGATCAGAGGTGAGGGGCTTGGCTGGGCATGTTTAAGCGCACAGTGCTCTCCTGCCCACCCCCAACAGCACCCCCACTACAGGCTCGAGGAGCTTTCCGGAGCTTCCCACACTTCTGGGGAGAAGACTTCTTAGCCAGCTTGATGTTTAAAATTCAGCTGGAGCCCTTAAAACTTCGAGCGTGGACGCTGAATGGGTTTGTAAAGTTTCGGTAAGTCCCTCCTGAGAAGGGCACTCATTCTCATATGAAATCAAACTCTCCACATCAGCCACTCCCCTCCATTGCTAACTTGCTTTCTCCATCTCATCTTCACCTCATCTCCACCTCATCTCCAATTACATGGGAGACTCCCCTTCTCATCCGCAAGTAGGAATGAACTGCACTTCTTATTCATCTCCTCTCAAATCCTTTTTTCTCAAACATCTCCAGTATCTCAGTATTCTCTCCAGTTCTCCCATTTGACCCATCAGTACCTCATTTTCCACCTCAGCCATTTTCATTTATCATCTCTCAAGCCCCTGCATCAGTACCTCATTTTCCACATCAACCATTTCCCCTCCCTATGCCCCAGCAGTTCCTCTTGCCATTTCTCCCCATGTTTTATTCCTGCCACTGCATTAACCTCCCTTGCCATTCTTCTCCATCAAAGGCAGTGCCATGCCTTGGGGTTCCTTTGTCATTCCACCACGTGGCTTGCTTGCGGGTAGGGAGAGGGAGGGTAGAAAAAAGAAAGGAAAGGGGGCATGTCCTGAAACAGTTTGCCCTGTGTCTGTGGAGGCAAGAGAATTGTAGGTCTAGAATAGCTAGCAGGTAGGTGCCAGGGAGAAAGCTAGCCGGGAGAAAAGGTAATTCGGGGACAACAAAAGGAGAGTGGGTGGACAGTGCGCGGTTCTACTTGCCCTCTGGCTAAAAGCTGGTAGCGGTCCCTGGGGCACCCACTGGTGTGCTAGGGTTCCTTCCCAGTCTAGGGGAAAGAAGATGTGGGCTGAGGCAGAGATGGAAGACCACCTTCAGCCCCCTCTCAGATGGCTTCTACTGCTATTTCCGAAAATGGCTGCCCTCCCCCAGATGCTCTTTCTTCTCTGCCTCCCCCAACCATAGTCTCCCCATAGGCATGACATGCTGGTGTGGGGAGATGGGGGAGTACCCGCCTTTATGGAGCATTCTCTTCGTCAGAGTAAGGTGACTACCCACAATGTGAGTCAACCCAGCCACCTGCAACAGGCCCTGTGGGGGCAAGATCTAGGGCCACTGTCACTGCCTACCTGGGGCTTTAAAGTCCTCCCCTTTAGCAAGTCACAACTCTCATTCCTGCCAGGTACCCCATACACCTCATTGCTTTGAAGCAGTCATAGCAGAAAAGCAGGCTTGGGCTGTGGCTGCCAGCCCAGGACATTGCTAGAAAGACTCTGGTTCTCTCAGCTTTGGCAGGGGTTGGCTGAGTCTCAGAAGAGCTAGGGAATGGCTTCTGGACATTTCCCCAAGTAGCTCTAGACAGAGGAGAGCCCCCCTCCCCACTTTGCTTCACATCCTTCACAGATTCACTGAGAGGGGGAAATCAGAGTGAGAGAATCAGAGCCTGTGTTTCTTCTCCATGTATAGATGCTCTGCTTAGAAGGGGTTATCAAGGAAGTGTGGGCTGGGTCCCTTCCTAAACCACAGGGACACATAAAAGGCAGGGACTTGCAGGGAAGGTGTTTAGGAAATGGTGGTTAGTGCCCAGTAGTTTCCCAGCAGCTAGGGTTCAAAAAAGCCCTATTCTGGGGAAGCTTTTTTCACTAACACTGGTACTTAAGCAGCAGAGACGAGTCTTCACAGTTTTGTGTGTAGACATTAGGAAATGAGTAAAGTCAACTCTTGCCCTGGTTGGAGGAAGGACAATGTCACCCCCAGTTAATAAGGGTGTTGGAACAGCAAAGGCTATGAATCACCCTGTGATCTGAGTCACATGTGAGGCCTAGCATAGTGGAGGGTGGGCAGGTGCAGGGAGGCTTCGGGTCTCCAAAGGAAGCAAGACCTCCAGACACCCATACCCTGACTCATCCTGGATGGCAGGACACCTGGCTAAAGACCCAGGCCTGTTCCCAGTCTTAGGCACTGACCCAGCTGCCCTTAGCCCGGGCACAATGCCTGAGGTGTGGCGTAGGAGCCACGATGTTCAGGTGACCTCACTACTGAGTGACCTCCCACAGCTTTTGTGCGTGGGTCTGCTGCCACCTCCCTCAGAAGGGCCTCTCAGAAGTACTCAGTCTGGCCCTAAGAAGTGGGCCACAACCTTCAGCTTCCTGCTGGGAAAACCCAGAAGCTGAGGAAGGAATCACAGAATCCTAGGATGGAAGAGATCATCTAGTTCGAACCCTTCATTTTATAGATGGGGGGACAGAGGCCCACAGAACAGGCATGACCTGCTGAAGGTCACACAGGGTATCGTTTAGGGATTGTAGGATTATCAGGAACAGGGCTGGGAAGGAGAGAATAGAGGCACCAAGGATTGACCCTGGGTTTCTTTCAGAAACAAGGAGACCAGCACCGGTCCAGTGGCTGTGATGGGCAAAGATTATTACAAGATTCTTGGGATCCCATCGGGGGCCAATGAGGATGAGATCAAGAAAGCCTACCGGAAGATGGCCTTGAAGTACCACCCAGACAAAAACAAAGAACCCAACGCTGAGGAAAAGTTTAAGGAGATTGCAGAGGCCTATGATGTGCTGAGTGACCCTAAGAAACGGAGCCTGTATGACCAGTATGGGGAGGAAGGTAAGGGAGTCTGCTGTAGCCCAGTCCTGGAACCCTGTGTTTGTCTGGAGTCCTGGGTGAGCCAGTTCTCACAGCAGGGAATGGAGGCCAAGGTGGGTAAGGGAGGCAAATATTCTTAGCATGGACTGCTGGGAGGAGGGAAGACCACTCACTGCCTAGCCTCAGCTTACTGTGGTTCTCCCCACCTCTCTCCTCCACTCCCCCTTCAAGTTCAGGCTCTAGAAAGGTCTGAAGCCAGAGCCAGGGTCCTTCTCTACCCTTTTTCCTTTCAGCCTTATTAGTCCTGTCTGAAGTCCCTGCTGCTCCATTGGCTGGTGGGAAAAGTTGGGGAGCGGAGCCTGAGTGGCTGAGGACAGAGTACTTACATTCATCAGCATAAAAGTCTGGCCCTTAGGCAGCCTGAGGATTAACCACTAGAGTTCTGAGTAGAAGTAGTTGTCCCTTCCCTCCCCCATCTTTGCCCACTTCAGGCCAGCAGAACAGAAGAGGAGCTTCGCCTCACCAAGGAAGTGGCAGGGATCCACGGGTGCAAGGGGAACTGCTGCTGGCATCTTACCCCCTCCCTGGGGCAGCTTGTGGCCAAGCATAGGGCGGGTGGCAGGAAAGGCCCAAATAAAGCCTCTGAGAGGGTGGCCCCTCCCCACGCATCCCACGGGCATGATGTAGCTGCTAATTCTGGGCCTGCCCCTCAGGGCCGCCTGCCACCCGCCAGCCACAGGCACCTGTCAGGCTATATTAAGAGACATTGTCACAGCTCAGGACTCTCCTTCTTGGGAGGAACTGTCCTTCCTCCCCCAAAACATTCACCTTTCTTTCATGTTATCCTCCTCTTTACCCTCCCCACCCTATCCTCAAAATGAAATGGGCTAATGGTGTGTACCATGCCTGATACAAAGCAGGGGCTCGAAGATGTTCTTTTCTCCTCCACCCCTTGCTTTGTGTTCTAGCTTCTGTGTGCCCCAGTCCTCCCAACCCCCTCGTCTTATTTTCTGTGCTGCTATTCCTTGCATTTCTTCCTATCCACTTCTGGCACTTGTCAACTCCCATTCCACCAGGCACTTGCTGGAATCGCCACTTTATCCCCAGATCCACCAGGAACCTGCTGGAATCCCCACTATTTTCTTTCTGGGATGGAGGGGTGGGAGGGGTAAGGGTGGGAAAAAAGGAAGCAGTGTAGACACCGTGCCACCATGTGACCTGTCTCAGAATTGCATTCATCCCTCCTCCACACAGCCTTGCCTTTGTTTAAGAAGCAAGGACAGGGAGAGCTATCCTGAACTTTACCCTTCTGAGTGAAGGGTACCTCTCAGACTCTGAGCCTGGACACTGGATTCAGATGCAGATCCCTATCCCAGGAGGGCCCCTCACGATGCTTCATGGCCTTATGCTACACAGATCTCCAAGGCCTTGGGAGGGAGAAGCAGCCTTGGAAATGGTTACACTTCTGTCTGCCCTGCCTCCTCCCCAACAGCCAGCCAGAACAATTGTGCACATGGACTCTGTGTGCAGCTCCAGCTAGGGACAAGTTGTTCCCAGCTTGAGAAGGTGGTGGTGGTGGTGCAGGAATCCCCACAGTGAGAATTACCCACTTCTGTCATCATTGGTCCAACCTCCCTCCCTCACTGAGCTCCGCCAAGCTTCTTGAACTTGCTTCATAGTCAGCCCCTCAATAGGAGGAAATAACAGAACCTAAGCCTTGGGGGAGAGATGAAGAGGCAGCTGCCACAAGTCCCTGAACTGGCTGCCTCTTGTCTTCTCTGATGAAATCCAAATCTGCCTTTGTAGCTCCCAGAAATAAGAGGCTAATTTAGGCCCAGGCTTCCACGGCCAATTGAAATTCTAGCTAAAAGGCCTTAAAGAAAATGGGCCCTACCCCTGAGTCTACACATTCTGGGTCAACTCCAAGCTAATCCCCTCCTTACCCCCATTACCTCCATCAGCACCTCCGCCACTCCCATTAACACCACTGCCCCTTTGAAGGCACCATCCAGGAATCGGATTCCCTTAGACAGGTCCTTACTCCAGAGAGCAGCCTAGACACCAGCCCATTCACACATGGTGTTTGCTCAGTGTTAGGTGTGGGGTGTAGGGCTTGGTGTTATATAGCTCCAGGGAGCTCAATTGCCATCGTAGGCTACCTCTCTACAACATGTGAATGACACTCACTGGGGTTGTACAACACTGTGCACAGCTTGTTTGAAAACTTTTTCTGGAAAAATAGCTCCTGGTCTTCAAATTAATTATCTGGGTTTTTTTTGTTTGTTTGTTTGGTTGTTTTTTTTTTTTTTTTTTTTTTTT